GAGGGGGGAGGGGGAAGATGGGAAGGGATGAGAAGGGGAAACAAAGGAGGAGGCAACAATGCTTGATAAGAAATGTACTCATTACCTTGCCCATATAATTTTAACCCCTCTGTATGGTATTTTCACAATAATAATAATAATACAGTAAAAAAGAAAACATTAGCGTACTCTAGTTTTTGTCCCAGCTTAAAATGTTAAATTATTTTTGCTTCTGTCTTTTGAGACAAAGTCTTGCTATAGATGATTCTACTGCCACCACTTTCCAAGCACTGGAATTACATCTGGACACCATTGTGCTCAGCTTACATTTTCAGTTTTTTTAAATTGAGGTATGATTCATATTTCATATAATTAACTGTTTTTAAGTGTACAATTTGAGGGTATTCAGTGAATTTACAGTGTTGAGCTGCTACTGCTTCTCTCTATTTGTATCACTTAGAACATCCTCTGTTCCTCTGCTAGCTTGTATACCAGCCATGAATACTCACACAGGACTTTAACTCTGTCTCAAAAACAAGACTATACTTAGGACCTAAGACAAAATGAGGGATTGAGCCTAAGAGATACTGATCAAGCTTTGATTGCCCTGTGAAGGCTTCTTTTACTGCTATATATTGCTCTACTGCAGAAACAGAGATTAGAAGCTTCAGTATTGTGCTGTTCCATCTGAGTTACATTTTATTTATGCTTAAATTTCTCCTCCTCCTCCTCCTTCTTCTTCTTCCTCCTCCTCCTCCTCTTCTTCTTCTTCCTCCTCCTCCTCCTCCTCTTCCTCCTCCTCCTTCTCACTCTCCTTCTCCTCCTTTTTCTTCTTCTTCCTCCTCCTCCTCCTCCTCCTCCTCCCTCCTTCCTTTTCCTCCCTCCTCCTTCTCCTTAGTCTTTTGTGTATGTGTGTGCTGATCCTAGGGTTTGAACTCAGGGTATAGGCACTGTCTCGGATCTTTTATGTTCAAGACTAGCATTCTACCACTTGAGCTCCATTTCTGGCTTTTTTGTTGCTAATTATAGATAAAAGTCTCATGGACTTTCCTGAGAGAGCTGGATTTGATTTATGATCCTCAGATCTCAACCTCTTGAGTAGCTAGGATTACAGGCATGAGCTGCCAGCACCTGGCTAATTTTAATTTTTAATTAACAAATAATATATATATGGGCACAATGGTGCTTTCATATATGTGTATATTTTAAAATAATTTCATTTTAAATGATTATAATTAATTACTATATCTATCACTTCACATACCTTTTATTTTGTAGTAGGAACATTTTAGCAATTTTGAAATATACAACATATTGTTAGCTATGGTCACTATGCTCTATAATAGGTAACAAACTGTATTCTTGCTACACTGAAAATTTCTACCCTTTTAGCAATATCCATCTGATTTAATAAGATAATGATATGAGTGTATTTATTTGTCCTCAAACATGGGGAACTCCTTGAGGACAAAATGTATGTTAATTGCTTAGTTACTAAAAGGCTTATAAGATTATAAAGTAAATGTAAATTTCAGAGGCTTATAGTTTATAGTTTACTCTTGAAAGCAATCCATGGATAGAATTTCTTTAGGACTCAGGGAATACAAGAAGACATGCATACCGTAGCGTTTCCCATTGATAGAACACTTGCTGAAAATCATGATGTTCTGAGTCAGGGTCCCTGTTTTGTCAGAGAACACATATTGGACTTGTCCAAGCCCATCATTAAGGGTGGTAGTACGAGCCTGTGCTGGGGTGTTCTTTGGTGCATAAAACATCTTCCGGTCCCAGTTGATATAATAACTGTTGCCTAGTCTTATTATTTCAATACTAAGGATAAAGCAAGAAAAAAAGGGTCCTGGTCAGAGCAGGACAATCAAAAACAATATCTCAGTTACCTTTTCTTTGGTGTTGGTCCTCAGTCTTCAACTCAGGGCCTGGGTATTGTACTTGAGTTTTTATACTCAAGGATAGCACTCTACCACTAGAGCCACAGCTCCACTTCATGGGCTTTACTGCTTGGGCTGGCTTTGATTGTGATCCTCAGAGCTCAGCCTCCTGAGTAGCTAAGATTACACTGGCACCAGGCTTCAGTTTCCTTCTTACAGATTCTGATGAAAAATGCCTTAAATGGAAAGCACTCAACTTCTCTACTCCCCACAGCCATATCTGAGAACTGTCCTTGCTACGGATCCTGCTAAACCATCTCCCTTCCCCTTTTCCTTGAACAAATGCCTTGGGGATCTTGAAAAGGAGTCTGAGACCAAGACCATGTCTGATGCTGATACCCATGATGAACATAGATGTGGCTGAAAACTTGAAACTCCTCAGTCAAAATAACATTGTTCACCCACTCCACCTCTAGCTCACCCCACTTCCATATGCTCCCTTCACGCTTTCTACCTAATATTTATAAAGAGCCGTAGTTGTAAAAGGGGATGCTACATTTCCCCTTCAGCCTGGCTAAAGACTTGGTTGCCCTCCCAAGGCTTCACTCCTGAATAAAGCATTTTGGTCTGTTACTTTCTGCTCTTTCCTTATTCTGATACCCTTATAACTCAGTTTCCTTACAGGTTCCATGTAGGTAAGGACAATTGAAAATCAGAGCATCTTCCCTGGGAATGTAAGCTTCCCGAACAATCTTGACAGACCCAGAAGCTAGCTCATCAAATCTCCAACCTTGACCATTAACTCAAGGCTTTTATACCACCTGGACCCACATAGACCTGATTAACTTACCTGAGATATTCCCTCCTTCCACTCTTTGTTTGTTCTTTAAAAAATGTGTTTAGGAAAAGTCATAATCTTGCTGGGTGTTGGTGGCTCACACTTGTAATACTAGCCACTTAGGAGGCTGAGATCTGAGGATTGCAGTTTGAAGCCAGTCCAAGTAGAAAAGTCCCCATAAGTCTCTTATCTCCAATTAATCACTCAAAAACTGGAAGTGGAGTTGTGGCTTAAAGTGGCAGAGTGCTAGCCCTGAGTAAAAGAGCTTAGGGACAGCTCAAGTCCCACAACCAACAAAAAAGTCACTCTTAATTTCTAGAGTAACAGTTAATAGAATAATAGTAAAAGTTGACTTGTAAGCAGCTATGTTGGCCTAATTAAAGGTTTATCATCATTGTCCCATGGGGGAGACATTTGTCATACCCAACTTTCTTTGTTTCAGGAAGAAGAAAGAAGGTATAAAATGGAAATAGCTTTATGGGGTGAACCTCTGATAAATTTCAGATAGTGCCAATCTACCTGTGGTGTGTCTCCTCCCCTAGCAGCTTCCTTTTTATATGATTTTCCCCAGTGCCTTTGCCACACTCCTCTGCAGCAAATAGAATGCATCATAGATTCTTTTTTTGCATCATAGATTCTTTATAGCCAACAAGTATTTCATACTTCAGTGAAGACTTTTTAACTGTATTGTTTTTGTCTTTTGATTTTGGTACTTGGGATCCAAACTAGGATATTGCACTTGCTAGGCAAGTGCTTTGCCATTGAGCTACATCCCAGACCTTTAGTGAAGATTTTTAAGGGACCTCTTTCCTGTCATTGTTCTTAGTGTGTATCATTCTGGTTTTGGTTTTTGTTTTGCTGATCCCAGGGCTTGAACTTTGGGCCTGGGCACTGTCCCTGAGCTTCTTTTTGCTCAAGACTAGTAGTGCTCTACCACTTGAGTCTATAATCCTAGCTATTCAGGAGGCTGAAATCTGAGGATCATGGTTCAAAGCTAGACTACTCTGTAAAACTCTTATCTCCAACTAACTACCAGAAAAAGCCAGAAGTGGAGAGCTGTGGCTTAAGTGTAGAGTGCTAACCTTGAGCACGCCCATGGACAACATCCAGGCCTTGAGTTCAAGCCCCAGACCCACACCAAAACAACAACAACAATAACCAGTGTGTTAGGAAGATAAAAGGGGCCAAGGAAATATTTCTCTTTGGTGACTTAAGAAACAGTATTTACTATAAGGCCAACTTTACCTATTTCAAATTTTGTCCAAGGTACTTGTGAAAAGTGGGAGGAAACACACTTACTAAAAAGTCCAACTTTTAGGAGCTAAACTTAGGCCATAAAAACATCTACTTAGAATTTACCAGCTTATTTCTTTAGAAAAACTCATTTTGAGTTTTGATTGACACACAGATGAATGTTTAGAACCAATCCATCTCATTGCCAAGAAGAGGCTTAAGTAGCACCAAATTTGTCTTTTTTCTAATTATATGCTATAATTATGTACACTATATGCTCTTTAAATCTTTACTTTATGCAGGCTTGGTGCACAAAACACTCTAAAAAATATCTAGAGCTAGGTACCAATGGCTCATGCCTGTAATTCTTGCTACTCAGAAGGCAAAGATTTGAGGATCATGGTTCAAAGCCAGCCCAGGCAGGAAAGTCCAATGAGACTCTTATCTTCAATTGACCACCAGAAAACTGGAAGTGGTATTGTGGCTCAATGGTAAAGCACTAGTCTTGAGCAAAAGAGCTCAGGTACAGGCCCTGAGTTCAAGCCACATGATTGACAAAAAACAAAAAATCCACACAGACTCTATCATAGAATTCTGGACATAGAAAGTATTTATGCAATCCCTCTCTCATTCTCTTTGTCTATGTATCTATGAATCTATGAATCTATCTATCTATCTATCTGGGGTGTGTGTGTGTGTGTGTGTGTGTGTGTGTGTGTGTGTGTGTGTGCATCAGTGAAAGTCCTGGGACTTGAACTCAGAGCCTGGATATTATCTTTGAGCTTTTTTTTTGCTTTTTTTGTTAGCAGTATACCAATTGAGCCACAGCTTGACTTCCAGCATTTTTGGCAGTTAATTGGAGTGAAGTATCCCAAGGACTTTCCTGCCTAGGTTGACTTTGAAATGTGATCCTCAGATCTCAGCCTCCGAATAGCTAGGGTTACAGTGTAAGCCATGGGCACCCAGCTCTAGATATTTCTTAGAGTGTTTTGTACATCAAGCCTGTGGAAAGTAAAGATTTAAAATGCATATAGTATAACTTTCTAAAAGTTCATACTCAAGGAAAGGGTGGCATTGTCCAAAAAAATATTCATTACCTGACTTATGAAATGGTAACCCCTCTGTACAACATGTTAGCAATAACAACAGTTATATTTTTAAAGTTCATACTTGGGAAATTAAATAGAAAATATGAAATCATGCTTCCCCCCTAATAATCCAATATGGTCAAAGAAACTTACCTGACATAGAGGGAAATGGGTACCATGGTGTTGAGAACAATGAAGTATGACCAAAAAATGAGTGTGGCAGACAGAAATGATGAAGAGACATAATCGTCCCATGGTAAAAAAATCTGGAAGTAGTAGCCTTTGTTGTATTGCCAAATGCCATGCCCAATTGCTAGGATACAACACATGGCACTTAACAACAGGAAGATCTAAGTAAAAAGCACAAACGAAAATTTAATTGAATGAACATTATGGTTCTACCATTTGGAGTCTTGCCTGTCAACAAGTTTCTCTCTCCTTGGAGGACACAGAGGTCATATAATTCAGAGATCTTGAACAGAGTATACAGAACAGAAGCAAAAGTCCAGCAGGAGCTTTTAAGGGAGTTTTTAAGGAGTTTTTAAAAGAGCTTTTAAGGAGTTTTAAGGGAAATAAGAGTAACTAAAATATTTGAAGTACTAAATGACTATAAAGAACTATGTTGGTCTTTACTTATATTATTTAATACTTATAATAATACCCCTTTTGTCTATTTAAAATTTATTTATTATTTTTTTCTCAGTCACAGGGCTTGAATGCAGGGCCTGGGCACTGTCCATGGTTTCAATGTTCATTTCTTAGCCAAAGAATCTGCTATTTTTCCAAATGAAGTTTCATAAAACAGCTATTTGTTAAGCTTTGCTACTTCAAGCAGGATGAAACTTAGAGCAAAACCCAAGTGATTTTTCCTATTTCCCCTGCAGCATAATTTGAAAATCATCAAGTTATTTTTTTATTTTATTTTTTACCAGTCCTGGGGCTTGAACTCTGGGCCTGGACACTGTCCCTGAGCTTCTTTGGCTCAAGGTCAGTGCTTTACCACTTGAGCCACAGTGCTACTTCCAACTTTTTCTGAGTAGTTTACTGGAGATAAGAGTCTCATGGACTTTGTTGCCTGGGCTGGCTTTGAGATCCTCAGATCTCAGCCTCCTGAGTAGCTAGGATTACAGATGTGAGCCACCAGCACCTGGCTGAAAATCATGAGTTTTAACAGTCCTCTATTAGTCCACATATGTTTTTTTTTTTTTTTTTTGGGTCCGGTCGTGGGGCCAGAACTCTGGGCCTGGGCGCTGTCCCTCAGCTCTTCAGTTCAAGGCTAGTGCTCTACCACTTGAGTCACAGCGCCACTTCCGGGTTTTTTCTTTTTGCTTATGTGGTGCTGAGGAATCGAACCCAGGGCCTCAGGCATGCAATGCAAGCGCTCTACCACTGAGCCAACTTCCCAGCCCCCCACATATGTTTTTTTAAGAGGTCATGAGCAAAACTGATTATGAGACTATAATGATATGTCTAAAGTGCTAAAAAAAAGAGTCCTTGATCTATTATGGCACCACTAATTAAAGTATAATATGTTATTAAAAAAGTATTATCACCCCTCACAGAAGAGATATCACCTAGATTCCCTTGTAAACTGAGTCTGTTATTTTCTGCTTCAAATCTTAGTCTGTGAAGTACTAAAACTTGACATTTTTCAAAAAAACAAATTCCAAGTTGAAAATACCAGCTATTAATAAGAAAGATGTCTATTTGTAAAGAAACAAAGAGAAGTGGTCTTTAACTTACCCAGATGACAAGAACATTCAAGAGATGGTCTATATATGTCCTTTTAAAGGTAGACTTTCCACTATTCTGCATTAATTTGGTGTCTGGCCCTAAGTAGAACAGGGAGACATCAGATCTTAGAATATCTAAGTATACTTAAAAGCCCTGAAATTGGATTGAAGTGCATCTTTATATGATCACTTATCTTTTAACTACTTTTGTAGTTCCAGGGGATAAAGCCAGTAACTCAGAAAGGAATATTCATTCATTTCTAAGGTTAAGCCCAACCATCCTGAACAAATGAAGTCCATTAATGCTGACTTCCCTCTTTGGAACTTCAGCCTTCATTTTCAAAGACGAGTTAAGTCAGAATTAACATCACAAATTTCTTTCTCCTTACTTGGTTTATTTAGCTTAGGGAAGGAATTTATTGACAAACAGATTTCTGCTTCCTTCTGAGGAAATCCACCGCTAAACAAGGCTATTTTTAAAGTTTCTAGATAGAAATGGCAGAATAAAAGAGGCAATGCCAATGATTTCTCCTAAATGGAAGCTGGTCGGCTGAGACATCCCTGGGGCTAAGGGATAGACATACCATGTTTCTCCATGACAGTAAGTAAGAAGGCTCTAATGGCCATTGGGACTGGAGTTGCAACTACTAACTGGAGATATAGCTGTAGACAAAGAATAGAAGAGCTTAAATAAACTGTAAGTGACAATTTCTCTGCATTTTTATCATCTGTTGTTCTGCCATACACTCTAATGAAGGAATTTCATGAATAGTACACATGGCAGGAGCTGGAACTTCCCCGGATATGTGGACAATCACTGAATACACAGTGTTTTTCTTTAGTCTGAAACATTCTTTGAAGGATCTGAAATAATAAGAAGCCTGGAAACTACAAGGGCCACAACTTTTAGGGTCCTTAGAAAGACTTACTGTTTTCTACCCCAGGTTTTAAGAAGGTGAAAACCACTGTAAAATTTGAGCCCATTAAGCAGGAAGAACAGCTCAAATCTACACTAAGTAGCTCAGGATGCTCTCGGCAATACTACTCAATGTGGGGCTTCCCAAAGCTGCCCTCTACTATGTAGCTACCACATTCTCAAGAGTTAAGGAAAGCTTGTGTAAGTTGCACCTCACTGTGTAAGTTGGAACCTCACTGTTATTGCTTTGGTTAAAAAAATCCTTAGGGTGAAAAATTAGTGGCCACTGTGTGTGTAGTAGCTGCTAAGTTATGGTGAAGAAAATAAGTCTACTTTACATCTTTTGAGTTCGAGAACGAGGCAGTTTAGGAGCTGAAACTTTAAGCTCACGAACTAATGAAAAAGGCCCCAGCAGGGCCTTCCTGAACTCCTCAGCTTTTCCTTAGGGTTCGAGTTCTCCCCCCCCAGCTTTTTTCCCATAGAAGTAAGGAGACTAGAAGCTCCAAATTTAAGAGCACATTCTCTAGAAGGGGAGCTCTGTGATCTGAATTGAGCAGTCTTCTATGCTAAATGTGTGTTATGATTTGGATCTTAAGTGTTTCTCTAAAGCTTGTGTGTAAAAGGTTTGGCCCCCATCCGATGATACTATTGGGGCATGGCTGAAACTTCAAGTGGTGATAGGGGCTGGATGGAAGTTAGGTAACTGGAGAAATGACCTTGAAGAATATATTGGGATCCCAAACATCTCTCTCTCTTCTGCTCCTCTCTTCTAAGCCACCATGATACAAGAACTTTGCTCCACCAGTCCCCCAAAGTGACAGTGCCAGCAATCATGGGTCCAAACTCCAGAAAATATGAGTCCAAATAATCGTTCCTCCTCTGAAACTGTTTATCTCAAGTATTTTGTTACAGGGACAGAAAAGTGACTAACAGTGTTGTCAGTGCACATTGTCAATGAGGACATAGAATAGTAGAGTGGAACTATATTTTCCTGAGACATATTATAACTCAAGAAAATCTCTTGTTCAGCATTATGAATCGTGTATCTAAACGACATCTCAGCCAGGCTCTGGTGGCTCATGCTTGTAATCCTAGCTATCGGGAAGCTGAGATCTGAGGGCAGGGGTCTGAAGCCAGCCAGGAAGAAAGGTCCATGAGATTTTTATCCCTAATCAACCAGCAAAAGCTAGAAGTAGAGCTGTAGCTCAAGTAGTAGGCACCAGTTTTGAATGAAAAAGCCAAGCAAGAGCATGACGCTCTGAGTTCAAGACCTTGTACCAATATGCACAAATAAAAATGGTCTGCTACTAATATAGCACTTACTTTCTAATATAAACTCTTCACATTATATTTTATATTCTTTTCAGCAATGAGCATGGTCTCTATTCTCTCCTCATTGAATTAATCCACATGTATATTCTTCTTTGTCACAGGCTAATTTTCTTGTGCTTTGTCTAGATTCATATCCTCTCCTGTGTCCAGTTATGTTTTGTTTATTTGTTTGTTTTATTGTCGGTCATGGGGCTTGAACTCTGGGCCTGGGTACTGTCCCTCAGATCTTCAGCTAAAGACTAGCGCTCTACCACAGTGCCACAGTGCCACTTCTGGATTTTTCTATTTATGTGGTGCTAAGAAATCGAACCCAGGGCCTCATACATGCGAGACAAGCACTCTTCTACTGAGCCACCTTCCCAGCCCTCCAGTAATGTTTGGAATGACTCATTAGTGGTGTTGGAATACAAGTCTTCTTCTAACAGAAGTGGAGCTGATGTACTTGAAACACTTTGTTTAGGAAATAGTGACTATTTTCTAAGATAATTTTTTCTTAAATATGTCATATAACTATCCATTTACCTTCCTAGGAATACAAGTCTTCTTCTAACAGAAGTGGAGCTGATGTACTTGAAACACTTTGTTTAGGAAATAGTGACTATTTTCTCTTAAATATGTCATATAACTATCCATTTCCCTTCCTACTTATCCTTAAGCCATAGTGTTCAGAGTATGAATATGAGTGTCATGTTCACATATTGAAAACTAATTACTCATAAGTTGGCCCAAAGTAGAATCTACCAGGTTGAAAATCTGGCTGTGGCTGCAGGGACACTTACCAGTATAAATTACCAAGCCACAGCACCAATCAGTATTCTTGATGACGCAGCCTCGGAGCAGCAGCTTGTCTTGGTCCAGGAAGTACTTTTCCCCCTTATAGGTTAGTATTCCTGAGAATTTATCCAACTTGTTATTGGGAGGCTCACATTTCACTTCTCCTGCAGAAAAATAAAGGAGCAAGAGGAATAGCTTTAAAACAGGATGGAAGATAGCTCAACAGAAAAGCAGTAAAAAAAAAAAATCCTGCTTCAAAATACACAAATTCCTTTCCTTTCCCTCAGATACTCCCTATTTCTCACCAGCTCCTTTCCTAAATGGAGACAAAGGTTTCTGGACATCAACAAAGAAATTTTGTATGTGATATGCATTACCCAAAGAGAGAAAAACCTATTATAACTTATGACCATCAGTACCTCCCAACAGTTGATCTCTGAAGAAACTATAAACTGATTAAAGAAAATACTGTATCCAAAACAAAAACATTTTATTTTTCCCGATTAGGAAATATTTCCTTTGTAAATATTGATGCCATGTTGAAAGTGACATAGAAAGTAAAATCTATTTACTTTTTAGAGAAAAGTGCTATTGACCTGGGATATCCTCTTAAGTGTTGTTTTGTATATGTACTCAAATGTATGTTTTCAAAACAGATTTATGTAAGACATCCTATGTGGTCTTTGATCATCTGTATTTTTCTCCTATTAATATGTTGGAAATGTCTTTACATGTCAATATATGCCAACATATATATTACTGTAATGTGTTGTATAGAATTTCCTGTTTGGATATACTGTATTTTATTTAGCCAGTCTTCTTGTGATAAAAGTTTGGGTAGACAAACCTATTTCCTAAGTTACCATCAAAGGCAGACAGTAGCTCCAGGTTATCTTTCATGTCACTGGTAACTGAGATGGCCTGCTTCACTTTCAGGTTGGTTTCACTAGAGTTAAAGACACAAGATCAAAAGAGTATAGGATATATATATACAACAGCAACAGAGGATAAGTTTTTCCTATTCATGGGGTTTTAGAAAATAGATATTGCCAACAGAGCTATGTATCTTGTAAAGCCATTGTTTCCTGGTCTTACGGACTAAGGAGGTAGCATAATTATGCCAGGATACTGAGTATGAATCCAATCATTCCCTCCTATCTCCCTCATACTCTACATACATCATCACAATTTTAACCAACTCAGGAGGTTTAGCTGGTCAGCTGCTCAAGAGATTATGAAGTTATCACAAAGATACCTTTCAAGTATAAAAATTCAAAGCTGGGGGCTGAGAAGGTGGCTCAGTGGTAGAGCACTTGCCTTGCATGCATGAGGCCCTGGGTTCAATTCCTCAGCACCACATAAGCAAAAAGAAAAAAGCCGGAAGTGGCGCTGTGGCTCAAGTGATAGAGCGCTAGCCTTGAGCTGAAGAGCTAAGGGACAGCTCCCAGGCCCAGAGTTCAGGCCCCACGACCGGACCCCCCCCCAAAAAAAAAGAAAGAAAAATTCAAAGCTGGGCACCAGTGGCTCACACCTATAATCCTAGCTACTTAGGAGGCTGAGATCTGAGGATGGCATTTCAAAGACAGCTGGGGCAGAAAAGTCTCCATGAGACTTTTATCTCCATTACCACTCAGAAAAAGCTGGAAGTGGCACTGTGGCTCAAGTGGTATAGTACTAGCCTTGAGCACAAAGAGGATCAGAGACAATGCCCAGGCCCTGAGTTCAAGCCTCACAGCCCACAAAAAAAAAAAAAAAACCTTCAAGAACAAAAGCAGATGTCAGGGGATAGTGGCTCCTACTTATAATCTGACCTAATCAGGAGGCTGAGATCTGAGGATGAAGTTCAAGGCCACCCTCGGCAGACAAATCTTAGAAACTCTTACCTCCAATTAACCAGCAAAAATAGAAGTGGAGGTATGGCTCAAGTGGTAGAGTGCCAGTGCCAGCCAGGAGTGAAAAAGCCAAGGGAGGTGTGAGGACCTGAGTTCAAGCTCCAGTATTGGTGCATGTACACATGTGTGTACATACACATAAGCACACAGATATAGAGGGCTGCTTTACAAAGTGTCTCCAGTTTAGGGTTGGAGAATATGGAGTTTATTGCCTAGATTCTATACACAGTGAATGTTCAAGTATTGCTGCCAAGAGCTTAGCCAGGATCAAGATTTCTGTCTTTTCTCATTCATATATTTCTAGGTTTTCTTGGCTTATGTAGTATCACCTCCACCTGAGAAGAAAGTTAATTCCTTGCATAATGCTCTTCCTTCTGTGAGATACCACTCTAAGTTAGCTAAATTGTCTTAATGAAATATTAGACATCTTACCCATCCAGCTCTGTTGTTTCAATATATGTCAGACTGAATGGTTCACTGCTAGAGAGTAACAGTAAATCTGCCTGTAATTAGAAAAGTCAGGAGAGAAAAGCCAAAGGCAGGCTTAACATAACAGTGTGACAAAAACAGTCCCTCAGAAACAGATGCCAACCCTGAGAATTTTATAGACATATTCTTTGTCTAGGATTCAACATTGCTATCAAACACCCTTTGCCAAAGCTTCTCACATTTTGCCTGTAGCTTTGGTAAGAGATAGACAAGAATAGTCTTCTCACCTAAGGAACTCTTGGTCTCCAATGTGAAGTGAGGAAAATGAAGGTTACCAAGAGCAGTAGAGTTAAAAATGCTACAAGGGTTCCTGATCCCCACTCAATCCAAAAAAGAAAAGGTTACAGCCAGAGCAGGCACTCACCGTAACTTGCTCATTATTTTTTAGTTTTATTATATCTCCCACTTGGATATTCTTCCATTTTTCCTCTTCTATCCTGTAAGAAAATAATATTTGAATATCTGCTTGAGAATTTCCCCAAAGCTTTGACAATAAACATAAAACAAAATGAAGAGAAAAGCTTGAGATGAATGGGCTTGAGGTTTATGAGGCCCAAACTGATGTGTGATGAACTCTTTCTGCAGTCAAGAGTGGGCCCATTTCTCTTGACTTCATGCTATAAGGGTTTCCCAGGGTCCCTCCCTTCTCTTCCCTTCCCTTTCCCCTCTCTCATTTTCTTTTCCCCTCTCCCCTTTCCCTTTCCTTTCCCCTTCTCCTACACTTTCCCCTTCCTTTCCCTTCCCATTCTCCCTTCATTTCCCCCTCCTTTCTCCTCAATTGTGGATTGAACCTAGGGCCTTGCACAGACTAGGAAAATGCTTTAACTCATGTCCCCAGCCCCAAATAGTTTTTGATTGACTACTTGAGCCATATCTCCAGCTCTAAAGTCACTCTTTGATTTAGTGATTTTGATAGTTCTGAAGAATAATAGCCATGTCTTGATTTTGTTTTGATCAGACATTTTTATACTTTGCCAGGTTCTCTAGAATACTAACTCCCAGCAAAATATGAAGAGAAAGCAAGACTAAAAGAGTCTGGTTCTTTCTGGTTATTTTTAAAGTTTATATTTAATTACATTGAAGAGCAGTGAAACTATTACCAATTTGTTCCTGGACTTTACAACAACCATATGTCCTAGATAGGATGGCGCAGAATTTTCCTACTGACTTAATTTTATATAGATGATACCTTGTGGGATTCTATACCACATTAGCACTTTTCATTCTATAAATATTTGGAAATACTATCTAAAATAAAGCCAACATTCTTTCAAATGTAAGGCTATATTTGTTATAAATTAAGGAGGTAGAAAATTCCAGAATAGTTAGTGTGCTTTAAAGCTTTTCTTGCCCTGGATGGGAAGAGGATTGCCAATTTAAAAAAAAAATCTCATAACTTCAGTTTTACTTTGTCTTTCCAGAGGGAAAGAAGCCTTATAATCTTAAGAGGCAATGTATTGGAATTAAGAACCTTTCATAAAGCCAAGGCCTTTAAAGAGAAATGCCATTAGTGAAAGGGTAATATAAACTATAAATCAAACCAAGATAGGCAAGACAGTTTGCCTATCCTAATCTGGAGCACTGGGAACCAGTGAGTGGAAGACCCATTCCTGGGCATCAGAACTTCAAGCAATATAGGATTCACATTTATATTTCTAAATTTGGTCCTGGCAGGTGTGTCACCATTTGAAACCTGGAAGAAGCAAACATAAATCCCTCAAGCCTTAAGCCAGATGCAAGTGGTGCATACCTATAATCCTATTATTCACTAGTCTGAAATCTAAGGATCACAGGTCAAAGCCAGCTAGGGTAGGAAAGCCAAAAAACTCTTATATCCAGTTAACCACCAAAAAGCTGAAAGTGGAGCTGTGGCTGAGGTGGTAGGGCACTAGCCTTGAGTAAAGAGAAGCTTGGGCACAGTGCCCAGGCCCTGAGTTCAAGGCCCAGGACATACAGGCACAAAAAACAAACACACATAGAGCTTCCCTATGACCTAGCAATCCCCTTTTGGGCATTTACCCAAACAATCACAAACAAGGCCATACTAAAGCTACCAGCACAACTATGTTTATCACAGCATTATTCACTATAGCTAAGATATGGAACCGATTCAGATGCCCCTCAGTAGATGAACAGATCAAGAAAATGTAATATATATATATGCGCGTTGGAATTCTATGTCTCTATCAGAAAGAATAACATCGCCCCATTTGTTAGGAAATGGAAAGACTTGGGAAAAAATCATATTAAGTGAAGTAAGCCAGGCCCAAAGAAACATAGGTCCCATGGTTTCCCTTATTTGCAATAACTAGTATATATGTAGGACAAGCAGAAAAGGCCAAAAGCTATGTACATATGACCATATAAGATGATGCTAAGTGAAATGAACCTCAAGATAGGGACACAAGAAGTTTTATCTTTCTTACTGTTGTTTTTAATGTACTTATAATGTACTATGTGATTTTTTTATTTCTTTTTTTTCTCACTGTTTTTTTAAATTGTGAAAATACCATACAGAGGGGTTACAATTACATGGGCAAGATAATGAGTACATTTGTTATCAAGTATTGTTGCCTCCTCCTTTGTTTCCCCCTCCCATCCCTTCCTATCTTCCCCCCCTTCCTCACCCCTCAACTCCCTCCCCGCCCCCTTCCCCTCCCCTTGCCAAAGTTGTAAAGTTGATTTTTTCAACATAACAATTTTTATTTATTTTTATTTATTTTTTTGTAGTCCAGTCGTGGGGCCTGAACTCTGGGCCTGGGCGCTGTCCCTCAGCTCTTCAGCTCAAGGCTAGCGCTCTACCACTTGAGCCACAGTGCCACTTCTGGCTTTTTTCTTTTTGCTTATGTGTTGCTGAGGAATCGAACCCAGGGCCTCAGGCATGCAAGGCAAGCACTCTACCACTGAGCCACCTTCCCAGTCCCATGATTTTTATTTCTTTTGTATGTTTTTCCCCCATGGTATAACCCCTGTTCACTGTATTTGATCCTGGTGCCCTGCATCTGTATATACATTTTTCTAATTTGGGGAGGGGAGGAGAAATAACAAAATGCTGAAACAAGGATCCAGGTTGACCCATTGTAACAATGACATATACAAGACACTATGTTGAAAACGAACTTTACAACTTCTGGGGGCAGAGGGCGGGAGGAGTTGGGGAGGGAAAAGATGGTAGGGGAAAAACAAAGGAGGGGTAACAATGCTCAATAGGAAATGTACTCATTGCCTTACTCGTGTAATTGTAACCCTTCTGTATAGTATCTTTACACTAAAAATATATTTAAAAAACAAAAAAAACTCAGGCAACTTAGATTCTCCTAGAGAAAGCTCCTCTAAAGATAGGCTTATAAAGAAAATTATTGAGAATGAACTGAGTATGGTTATTTATGCCTGTAATCCTAACACACAGGAAGATGAGGCAGAAGAATCATGAATTTGCAGCCACCTGGGCCACATGGCAAGACTGGAAAGATGGCAGATTACACAGTCATATCACATTTGTAGGTCTCCATGAACTACTAATAAATACAAAGGGGGCTACAAAGAAAGGTGGGCAAGTTAGTAAACTAAGGAGGGCACTAGACAATGGCAAGAGAAAAAATTTAAATATGATTGATCACGGATTTATAAGAGAAATAATAGAAAACAAAACTGCTTGCATAGTGGCTGTACCTCTGTCACAGCACAGAAAAGAGGGAGTCAGGTACTTCCTGGTGACTGCCAGATCCTTAAGATTACTACTCAGCCCAGTCAAATGTAACTGCCCACATGGGACTTCTAGTAATGTGAGGTGACCAAAGGCCCACACACCTGGGACAAGTTAAGAGTTGGGGAAAAAATACTCACCTATGTCTCTGGTGTATCATGGTAGAAAATAAGCCAGGTACATTTCCCTGTGATCTTCAGTCATTCCTGTGTCTGTTAGACCCCAAAGATCACCGCTTAGCTCAGTGAGTGCAATAAACACAGCTGCCCCTGAGGGACTTGGCAAATGAGCTGATCAAAGACTTGTGTACCTGGTACCAGTCTGGGATTGGAAAGAAAACATTTGGCATCTGTGCTTCTGATAGAGAATAGGAGAGAGGAGGCAGAGTACATGTCTCTATGATTAGCATATTTGACCTGTGACCAACAGACCCAAAAGAACTTACTACAACCTAGCACATACAAGTAATACAGCTGTGCACAAGAGACTTTTAGCAGAGTGGGACCTGCTCCACATTACCTCAGAAGTTAACCCCTGTCTAATCCTCAATCAACCAAATCAGGGTCAAGAGCAGGGATGTAAACATAACAGAAGAACTGCAGTCAAAAAGCTAAAGACCGGAGATTAGAGAAGAACATCCATATAATGGTAGAGTCAAACAGACATACATTCTTCTCCTTAGCAAGGAAGATATACTGACTTTCTACCTGTATGTACAGGTACATATACACACTAAAAAACAAGGATTAGCTAAAATTATAGGACTCATATTCAGTAATGTAATTGGAGAAAACCTCCAAATCCTATACCCTTCCAAGTATAGGAGGCCTTTAAGGCCAGAATAGAAGCTATGCAGGGCATATTATAGTTAAAATATTGCATATAGAGAACAAGAAAAGCATATTGAAAGCTGAAAAGGAAGAGTCAAGAAACCTAAAATGTTAAGCCCTTCATAATAAAAGTAGAGTTCTCAATAAAAACCTTAAAAATAAAGGAGGGCATGTAATGATACATTTCAAGCACTAAAAAAATCCCTGTCAACTTAGATTACTCTATCCAGAAAAGTTATCATTCATAACTGAGGAGAAATAAAAACCACGAAAGCTGGGTGCTGATGGTTCATGACTATATTCCTAGCTACTTAGGAAGCTGAGATCTGAGGATTGAAGTTTGAAGTCAGTCCAGGAAGAAAAGTCTTTTATCTCCAATTAACCACTAAAAAGTCAGAAACAGAGCATGTCTAGAGTGGTAGAGTGCTAACCTTGAACAAAAAAATCCCAGGATACTGTTCAGACTTTGAGTTCAAGCCCTAGGACACACATGTATGTATGCATGCACACACACACAGCCTACAGAAGATAAATGGTCATAAAATTTATGACAAGGCACTATGTTGAAAATGAACTTTACAACTTGGGAGGAGCTGGGGAGGGAAGGGATGGTAGGGAAAAACAAAATAGGGGATAACAATGCTCAAAAGGAAATATACTCATTACCTTACTCATGTAACTGTACCCCTTCTGTACAGTATCTTTACAATAAAAAGATATATTAAATGTTTTAAAGCAGCACTACATAAGAATCCTATAGGAATCCTATACACAGTAGAAGAAGATACCATATCCATAAAAATATAGGAAAAGATAAATTACACATGACAGATAAATAATCAAATGAAGATCAGGAAAGAATCAAACACTACAAAAATAACAAAATAGCAAGAATTACTACATACTTTTCAATACTAACATTTAATATCACAGGCCTCAATTCTCTAAAGGAATAGAATGGAGAGTTGTATTAAAAAGCATGATCTTTTGCTATAGAAGCAAAAAAGAGACGATAACAATGTGTATCATTAATATATTCTACTTCAGGCTAATACCAACTAAATTTGGTATATTGTAAACTACAGTATTGCAGTTTTGCTCTGATGTAACACCATTCCCTCTGCTTTTTTATGCTAACACTGCCATAGATATATATATGAAAGTTAAAAAAACCACTAGAAAATACATGATCTAATTTGTGCCTTCAAGAAACTCATCTTACAGATAAAAACAAACATTGGCTTAGGGTAAAAGGATAGAAAAAGATCTTCAAAGTAAATGGACCCCCCCCAAAAGCAGAGAGGAATATCTACACTCACAGCTAATAAAGTAGACTTCAATTCATTTGGCAGCAATTCTCTAGCTTTGTCATTTCTTTTTATTTTTATTTACCATCCTTTAAAAATCATAACTGACATTTTTGGTGTCTTGTGTTGTGTCTAAACAATTCATAACACTTGAGGACAATCACTATGAATTACAATCAGTAGACACAATGAATAGCAGGGTTAGATGACAAAGAACTTCAGGCGATAGAATTAGATGATAAAAACTATAGCTACTAGATGTTCTACAAGGTTACCATAAGAAAAACTGGACTTCAATCTTGAATTCTTTCAGGTTTGAACTTTCTTTTATGTTCATTTTGATATTTAAAAGATTATTCAACTTATTGAAGTTACAAATGAAAAGCACAAATGAAACAAGGTTTGCGCATTCTTGCATTCATGCTGCTGTTCACTTTGATCACTCTTTCTCTCACACAATCTCTATCCATTGAAGTTTTCCCATCCCTTAAGGCCTGTTCAGACATTACCTCCTCGAGAAAGTCTTCCTTAGATCCTTTTGCCAGCTATGATTTCTATAATAATTTGCTATGGTTTTATAATATAGTCTATATTTTCCTTGTACAGAAATATGCCTGTTTTCTTCTAGTCTTGTCAACACTTTAGATAGCTACAACCAAACACCACAACATTGTTAACATGAATACCGTCTTTGGATTTTTAACAAGAAAGATGACCCAATCAAAGGCTACAGGAGAATGCCCTGTAAGCCATGTCAGAATCCACTGATATTCTAAAGACAAATGTTTCCACACGACTACAATTGTAACAATCACTTCTATGTTAATATCATGCTATAATATATTAATTTCTTTAACATGTTATTTCATTTATTTATTTATTTTTTGGATCCGGTCATGGGGCCTGAACTCTGGGCCTGGGCGCTGTCCCTCAGCTCTTCAGCTCAAGGCTAGCGCTTTACCACTTGAGCCACAGCACCACTTCCGGCTTTTTTCTTTTTGCTTATGTGGTGCACTCTACCACTGAGCCACCTTCCCAGCCCATGTTATTTAATTTTTATTTCCACAAACATTCTCTAAGGTAGAGAGTATTATTCCACTTTTAGAAAAGAGGCTTAGAGACATCTGTAGTAGCATGGCAGTTGAGGGCATGCTAGATAACATCAATAAACAAACTTTTAGAGCACGAATGAGACCCTGAGTTCAATCCCCAGCACCAAAAAATTAAATAGAAACAAATTCTTCTATGACCAATCTAAGGTTCTTTTCATTGCCTTGAACTACCTTTCCTAAGGACTGAGTATATTAAACTTTAACAATGATGACCTTCTTGTCCAAAACTAATCTACTTAAAATGACTTACCTGCCATTCACCAGCAGTAGAACAGAACGATTGTTAACTTGGTGGTCACTTTGATGCCTTTTCTAAAATCATATAAGAAAAATGTTTAGAAAATAGCAAATTACATATAGAATTCACAGTTTTTGAAGTATTATCCATTGTTGTTCTATTTCTTCATATATCTCCTACTCCTTACTCCAAAGCCCTTCAGCCATTAAAACTAGAACAAGAAACTGTTAAAATAAAACAAAAAGTAAGAAAAAGAACCCAGGGAGAAGAAAAAAAGACAAAAAAAAAAAAAAGCTTGATGCCAAACACTAAAACCAAAGCCCAGGGGCATGAAAACAAATAAGTATGTCAAAGACTCAGAAGACAGAGTAAACAATGATGACAGGACAAGTGAAGTTGCCTAGTATTGGCAAGCATATTCTGACTCCAGTGCCAACTTGTTACAGGTGTATAGAAGTTTATGTAGTGGATATAGAGTGGAAAGAGGCCAATATCCAAAGACCAAATAGCAGGAGAACAAATACAGAATATGTTCTAATGGCAGGATTCACATAAATTTTCTCCTTTCCGGTGAGGTAAAAGGCAAGAATAAAAAAGGGGATGGAATATACGGAATGGTCACAATTCTGAATTGTGCCAACATTAATATGAAAGAAACTGAATTCAGAACAAGAAGAGTAGATGCATTGCCCTGAATGGGTTCTTATTGGAAAAAATGAGGAAAGGGGTATGCATAAAGTTCTGAGCAAAATGAATTCAGAAATATATGAAATTAACCCTATAAAGAAATAAAATGTCAGTTTTGCATATTTGAGTTGTGACTGAAATTTAAAACTATGCAACCTATTGAGTTAAAGAACTGGAGACATACTGTCCTATAAAACTTTGGTCTAAAAATTTATCTTAGCAAAATTAGAAGGACTATTTTGGGGAATTACAAAGGTTGGTTTCTCAAATAATCTATTACTTAACTCACTGTCAAAGGCCAGTTTCTCTTTTTCACACCAGGAAAAAAGTAAGCCTCTGTATATGTTACACAGCTTTCTGAAAACAAACGGCTCCTAGTTGTACATGCCGAATACAACTGATAGCCAAAAATGGTGATAGGAGAGTGTTGGAGGGAAGAAGAGACACAAGAAGAATAATAGAAGAAAGAAGGAAGATGGACAAAGCAAAGAAGGGATATAAAACTAGAGAAAGGGGAGAAAAGAAAGAAGGACGATGACATAGCTAGAAGCTAAAAGCAGGGTTAAAGACTAGTTTTTTTTTTAAAGGAATGGAAAGAGCCCTGGAGTAGTACCAGGAGGACAGACAGAAGCTCTGCACCACCCCTTTTGGGCCATGCATGAACCACCAGTCTTGGTCCACTGGCAGTTACATATCCCTCTGACAAGGATAGAAAAATATGTTTCTATCCAGTACTTCTTTGCACAAGATAGTTCTGGGAAGACTTCTTGTTCACAGCCCGACTATTAGGTATAGTGTGGGAAGCCCAAGAAGCCAGTTCACCAGATCATCGATGGCATCTTTCACTCCTGTTATAGACAGCACCATCACTAGTGGTATCACTGTTGTATACCATGCCAAAGCAGAAATCTCAGGAATTAACTGTGAGAGAGAAAGAGAAAAAATTTAATCAGAAGACTTAAAAACTTAAAGGACTGATCATAATAAGTCCCACCATCCTACTTGTTTTTCACTGCTTTACCTTTCCTATAACCACTCCCTCACTCCAAATATAAGTAAACATTTCTTAAGGAAGGGTAAAGAAGAAAAAGCTGTAAGTTTACCTATCTAAGCTCCACTATCTTAGTCCTGATGGAGAAGATTCTTTTCTTCCCTAATAATGAAAGGTACTGGAGGTAGTACAGTAAGAGTGGATGTGACAGTCAGGTATGATGGTTATGTCTGTAATCCCAGAAATTGGGGAAATCAGGCAGGAGGCTGAGTTCAAGGTTACTCTGAGCTACACAGGCCCAGTCTCAAATGAGTAGCTGTAGGAAAATCACATATTTCCCAAACTCCTAAAACACAGGGGAGGTGAAATGATTGGTCCTCCTCTCTCAATTTGGCCTACCCTTCTTTACTTGTGTCACTCTCTCATATTTCAAAGTATTATACACCCCTAGTACTCTTAATATATCAATTTCCTGTCATGGAGGTTAGGATGACGAAAAGCAGTCTCAGTTGGGGTGGTGAAGAGTTCTGTAGCTTCCTATGGATCAACCTGAACCATGGTCATATATAATCATGTTGAGGAGCGCCCTTTCTTTGTGATTTGAGGACTTTGTCTCCTTCCACTTACAAAGGCATTGATTCATACTTGCTAATCCTGACCTTGCTTCTCTAGAGGACTAGCCTGAGACTCTGGCCATCCATTTGCCTGTGTCTAAAGAGAGAAGATATTTCTCAGTTAATAGGCTTATTATATAACCTGAAATTGTCCTTGGGGAAAATACCTGTAGAAATAGCAAAATGAGGAAATAGGCATTTGCAAGTCTCTGGAACTGTTCAAATAGGTTCAGAGGCAGGAAGTTAAAGACATTATATTTCGATGTCTTGATGGCATTGTTCTGTGAGTAAACAAACAACAATAACAACAAAACCCACCAAAGTTCAAAGACAGATAAAAAACTGGATTGATCTATATTTATTAATATTCGGTTATATATAGTATGATAGTATGATGGGAAAATGGGCAGCTTATTGTTAAGTAAAAATGATGATGGATATAATCTTTTTAGAGGGGAATCTAATATATGTTATAATTATAATATATAATAATAATAATAATATTTAATATATTTTCCTTTTAGCCTAGCCAACTCATTAACAGGGAATTCTCATAGTATATATGAATACAAATGTGTTACACTACGTGTAAAATGGTATTTATTCAGGGCTATTTATCCTAGAAAAACATTGGAGACATTTTGAATATTCATCAATAGAAGGCTAGTTAGTTTAAGGTTTATTGATACGATGGAAAACAATTCTGTTATTGAGTAAAGTAGGTCTACATGAATTGTTATAAATGTTGAAGTGGAAAAGGATAATTGTGGAACTATATTTTCAGCTATGTAAGAAAAAGCTGTAGCATTTCTTTCCTAAAGCTTACATATAATCCTAAAATCTGAGACATAATCTCCCTTGAGATTAGGGCACTGTAGTAATTTTGGTTCTGAGCCCTCATTGCACCAATTTTGTATGCTTAAAAGAAAGAAAAAATTATATGGTAGTGTCTACAACTATAATGAATTTTGTTTACTCAACAAAGGGGAATGTCATAGGAAAATATTACCACCCTTCTAAAATAGCTACATGTAGGATACTCACAGGATATCCATAAAGAGTGTTGAGTTCTCTGTTGTTGGCCTGTAGAAATCGCCCTTTTGAAAGGAAAAGAGAGGAATAACAAGAAAGATGTTCCTCTTCAGTCAGCCTGGATGTTAGCTGCCAGTGAAGACTTTATTAGTTTATCATACTTTCTTACTGAAAAAATCTCTTTGAAAATGTTTCTTTTCTCTTTATTTAAATAATCAGTGTAGATAAAGGAACTCCTCAAGTATTACAACTTTCTGGAAGGAATAAGTACTTCATTAATGAATACCTCAAGAGTACTTATAACATACCAATAACAGACAAAAACACAACAACAAAAAAATTACAAGCTAATCTCTTTGATAAACATAGATACAAAAGTTCTCAAAATATTTTTCCAAACATATTAAAATTGAATTCAATCACACATTTAAAAGATCATATACTGTAAGTTGACTTTATTCCAGGAATTCAAGGATGGTTTCAAAATACATAAATCAAATGTAATACAGGACAGAGCAAAAATTACATGGTCATCTGAAAAAGTCTTTGACAAAATTCAATATGTTTTTTTAAATAAAACATCTGAACAAACTAAGAATAGAAAGAATGTACCTCAACATAATAAAGGTCATATATGACAAACATATAGCTGAATACACTAAATGGGGAAAAATGGAAATCATTTTTGCTGAAGTAAAAAATAAGTCAGGTTACAGCAAAAGCAGGAATGTTGAAAAAGGTGGTTAAAGCTTCGCTTTTTATAATCATCTAAAAAAAGAAACTAAACATGTAAGAGAGAAAAAAAGACAAGTTTAAGAAAAGAAAGTAGCCAGTCATATCCATGAATATTATTGTCATATTATGTAATAAAGATTAACTCATAATCCTCTGCACTTATAAATACTCTGACAAAAGACTAGAGTGACTAAGTGTTCCCCATTATTTCTTACTTCAAAAGTTTTTCCTTTGAAATAAATATCTGGTTATTTTTTTGCTCAGGGTTAGTGCCACAGCTCCATTTCTCTCTTTTTTGGTACTTAAATGGAAGTAAGAGTATCATGGGATTTCCTATGTGGGCTGGCGTTTAATCACAATCCTCAGCCTCTGAGGATTTGGTTATTCTATTGTGAAACAGGAAGGAAGGAAGGATGGAAGGAAGGAAGGAAGGCAGGCAGGCAGGCCCACCCTCCCCCCACCCCCTTTCCCCTTAAGACAAGTCTTTCTATGTAGTTCAGGGTAGCTGTTCACCCTAGGTGCTGAGATTACAGCCATGCAACAACATTCTCAGATTATTATTTTTCTGCTTCTTTAAACATTTCTCTATCCTACTGTTTAAGGTCCTGGATTTAATAAAGATTTGTTGAAGTGAAAGATGCTTTATATATAACATGGGTTCTACTGAATTGAGGTCAGGTCCTGTGCAAACTTCTCCAGTGGAAGATAATCACCTTCCTACCTATGGGAAGATTCATATAATTATAGAGTTACAATGAAGATGTCCAACATGGCTGAGAGTGTATGTACAGTGCAGTGTCAAAAGGGTCTGAAGAGAAAGTTGACTTAAGTCATGACAGTCCTTGAGTTGTCCAGCTCTCCTATCTCCACTATCCTGTCTTTGTCCCACTATGCCTAGAACCTCATTGATTCTTATGTCCAAGTTCAAGAAGAACTAGACTATAATTGTTAAAAGATCAGGTCCTAAAGCAAATGAAAAGTCACAAAGCAAAAAAAAAAAAATCGACTTAATTAACAGGGCCCCATTAAAAAAACTGGTTTGGGTGGCATAACTCAGGACATGCTGACACTGGTGTCCAGGTTGGTTTAAGTTTTCTTTTTTTTTTTTGGTCCAGTCGTGGGGCCTGAACTCTGGGCCTGGGCGCTGTCCCTCAGCTCTTCAGCTCAAGGCTAGCGCTTTACCACTTGAACCACAGCGCCACTTCCGGCTTTTTTTCTTTTTGCTTATGTGATGCTGAGGAATCGAACCCAGGGCCTCAGGCATGCAAGGCAAGCACTGTACCACTGAGCCACCTTCCCAGCCTTTGGTTTAAGTTTTCTAAAATAACATAATTCTAGAAACTAGTTCCAGAAACTTTAATGTCTGTTTTTTAATCACATGTTGAAATACAACTTATATAGCATACAACCCACCTATTTAAAATGTATATTTCACCTTGACCTGATGGCTCTCACCTGTAATCGTAGCTACTCAGGAGGCTGAGATCTAAGGATTGCTGTTTGAAGCCAGCCTGGACAGGAAAGTTCATAAGACCCTTATCTCTAATTAGTCAACTAAATGCTGGAAATAGAGCTGTGGCTCAAGTGGTAGAACACTAGCCTTGAGCAAAATGACAGCTTGGGACAGTGCCCAAGCCCTGAGTTCAAGCCTTAGAATCTGAACAACAATAAAACAAAATGTATGTTTCAGTGAGTTTTCATAATTTCACAGAGCTGTAGAACCTAAATGACTATTTTTTGTGTGTTTATTTGAAAGTTCTGAGAGCCTTCTATTTTAAGGCCCTAATACCACTTTTTGCTCCATATATTTCAATATATATGCCTTTCTCCCTTTTCTTTTTTTCCCCTTCCTATCCTCCTTTCCTTTTAGTTTGTCCAACCCTTTTTCCTTTTATGCTAATACTATTTTCTTAGTGATTTAAAAAATTACTTAAAGTAATGTATAAATAGACTTTTACTCCTTTCTCTCACAGAAACCACTGTTAACAGATTGCCATATATCCTTTAAGTTCTTCCTTTCCAGAGTCATATACACTAATATGTGTGTGTTTGTGTATAAATCTTATGTATATATCTTATCACATGTTGTTTTTTTTCTTTTCACACTATGTATTAGAAATCTTTCCATGCCAGAACATGCAGGTCTGTCTTACCCTTTTGCATTATTACTTTTTGCATTATTCAACTGTCTCTCAATAATAGATAATAATTACTATTGTGTTGTCATGTTGGTGGAGACAATAATGATATTTATAGAAATATATAGATGGTAAGGGGGAGGGAGGGAAAATGGAAAAAAATAGTTTTGTAAACTCTGCAGAATATATCCTTTTACTCTATAGGATTCTATGTGTTTATCAAAGTCCAGAATTGGCAATTCCATAGAAATACAAAATGAGTTTGTGATTGCTAGGGCTGAGTAAAAATAGGAATTTGGAGTGATTGCTATTGGAGATGGGAGTGATGATAAGGTTCTAAAGATAAATTATGGAAAAGTTGCACAGCTCTGTGAACATATTAAAATTCACTGAGCTATGTATAAGTGAATTTTGTGGCATGTGAATTGTATCTCAATGCAGTTAGGGTTTTTTGCTTTAAGCCACAGAAGCTAAGCATTGTAGGACTTTTATTTTTTCTTTTTGTCAGTCATGGGTCTTGAACTCTGGGCCTGGGCACTGTCCCAGAGCTCTTCAGCTCAAGGCTTTACCACTTGAGTCACAGCACCACTTCTGGTATTCTGGTGGTTAATTGGAGATAAGAGTCTCACGGACATTCCTGCCCAACCTGGCTTGGAACAGCAATCCTCAGATCTCAGCCTCCAGAATAGCTAGGATTACAGGCGTGAGCCAGGGGCGCCTGGCTGCAGTATTAGAATTTAAGAATTTAGGGAATTAATTGTTGGTGAAGGACTCCTACTTATCCATAAAGATAGAAATAGGATAATTAGAAATGTAGGGGATTGGTATAGAGATATGAAAAACATAATGTCTGGCACTGAGACAAGTTGTATACATAGCACAGCAGGGGGGAAATCTGACAGAGGTCAGAAACAAGATTATCAAGTCAGGTGAGTAATATCAGACTAATGATCTTATATTTTATCTAGCAGTTGACAAGGAATCCTAGAAATACATTAAGGAGGCAAAAATGTGATAACAATGGAATTTCAGAAAGACTATGATAAATTTACAATGGAACAAACTGTAGATATAAGAACCACTTAAGGGCTGGAAAGATGGCTCAGTGGCAGAGCGCTTGCCTTGCATGCATGAGGCCCTGAGTTCGATTCCTCAGCACCACATAAGCAAAAAGAAAAAAAAAAGCCAGAAGTGGCGCTGTGGCTCAAGTGGTAGAGCACTAGCCTTGAGCTGAAGAGCTGAGGGACAGTGCCCAGGCCCAGAGTTCAGGCCCCACGACCGGACCCCTCCCCCCCCCAAAAAAAAGAACCACTTAAAAGATTGCTATAAGTTGATATACTTAAAATGATGAAAACCTGACCAATGAGGTAATAGGGAATAAAGAGAGACCACAAACAGCAGTTCAATGTCAGCCTCCCAAGTAGCTAGGATTATAGGTGTGAAAGACCAGTGCTAGACTGATAGGCTGGTAGTTTGATTGGCAGGATGATCAGTCTACTTATCTGTCATATTCACAGGAACATGTGTGTGTGAGCAAGCACACACACACATGCATGCACTCACACACTTTTTAGAAGCAATAGTAAGAGTCCACCTACCAACTCCATCTTGTTTGTTTTCAGTTTGGCTTTCAAATACAGACATTGAAGGGTAGTTCCAACTATAATTCCATGGAATTACTGTAAAGGAAATAAAAAGATTTGGAATTTCTCATGTTGATACTGTTTTAAGTATATGCTTAAAAAACTTGGGGCTGGGATGTAGCTCAGTGATAAAATGCTTGCCTAGCAAGTGCAATGCCCTGTGTGCAAGCTCTTATACCAAAAAAGAAAAGATAAAAAGAAACATGGAACTTGACCTCTGAAATCTGAAATAATCTATTCCTAATCCACATATGCTATATTTTAGAATTTACTTCATTTAATCTCATAATAAAGATGTTTCCAAAACTTGAAAAACAGATTTCACTTTCTGGCAATCAAGTTGATGACCTGAAATTTACGAGTAGATAAAAGATATTACTAGGTAGTCTTTTAATGTAATTCTAGGTTTACACCTTTGGTTATTTTTGAATTGACTATTGTATAACTCTGTAAGGTAGAGATTAACAGTACATTTTAATCTAGTAAAGATATTTTATGTCTGGCCAGGCACGGGTGGCTCACGCCTGTAATCCTAACCACTCAGGAGGC